CAATGCTGACACACTGGGGACTATACAATTTTAGCTGCCTTCCCTCACGTTGTCATCTCACTGGTCTTGCTGAAGAGCCAAACATATCCCTCACTGGCTGAGACAGTGGTGGTTAACCCTGCATGCAGGCACGCTGCAAATTAGGCTCAGCCCCCTCCCTGTGTGCTGCTCAGATCCCTGCCCCAGTGGTGTATCTGATGGGGGTTTGCACCCCAAATGCTAGAGTGGAGGCAAGCGGGGGAGCAGGTTTGATCCTCTGGCTGTGTAGAGCGGGTGCAGGATCCTGCTATGAGAGGAGGTGTCACTGCTGAGAGCCAGATTAAGTCTTCCCTGGCCCTGCAATTTTACATGGCAAGGACCCAAAGCCCTGACTGCAGCAGGGTGTGACGTCCCCTTCCCTCCCAGGACAGCTTGCAGAGCTCCTCCCAGGGAGGTCCTCCACTAGTTTCAGCCACCAGAGTAAGGAATGGTTGGGAGGGGCGGGGAGGGTACACCCGTTTCCAACCCTCCACCAGTAATGAGGTGGGGGAGGCAGTGGCCTGCTCCAGGAACCTCTGCCCCTTCCTCTCCTCCCCATGCTTTACTCCCACTCTCATCTCCCTTCCCCTAGCCCTATGTCCCTTCTGCCCAGGGGGCCTCCAGCTGCTGAGGCTGGGGCTCCAGGACATGGAGTAAGGGTGATCTCTGTGCTGCCGTCCAGCTCAATTTGTGACAAGATCCAAGAACTCAAAGAGCAGGAAAGGGTGAGGAGCAGGACAGGCCCTTTCGGCGAGAGACAACACAGCCCAGCCAGTGGGAGGAAGTGGCGCTGCCATATGGCGCTTTCCTCCATACACCCTTGGGCTGAATCAGCACCAACAGTCCCCCCGGCCATCACCACCGGGCAGCTGGCGAGGGGCTCCTATGAAAGTGTTGGCCCCAAAGCCCCTCGACCTGACTCGACTGGATCTGGAGGACTTCCTGGCCCTTCAACCCAGAGCTGAAGCCAGGGGCGTGCAGTTGCAGCCCCTTAGCTGCGCAGCGCATGCAGAGAGCTCAGCAGCTCGTTGGTGGGGCTGCAAGAGCTGGCACTGGTGCAACTCTGGACCCCAGGCTGTGAACACTGCTCAGGCTCCCCTCTTCCCCTGCTGTTGAATTTGGTCAAGGGGAGGGAAGGGATAAGCAGTGCTCACGTTCCTGCTCTGGGTTCAAGGAGCCGCACCAATGCAGGCCCAGGCAGCAGCCGCACTGACAAGCCGGCGAGGTGACCAGGAGGAGGGGGCAGCTCTACCCCCCCGGGACCACCCAGGCCTGTCACAAAGGGGTCAGTCAAGGTTAACAACAGGGCCCCCCCTTGGCTGTCCCACCTAAGAACCCAGGCACCGAACCACCCAGAAGAGACCAAACCTTTCACCTTCCACTGCCTGGAAGTAGCTTCTCCAGGGGTCCCACCACCGCGGCATCACGGAGAATCTTGCCCTGCAGCTGCCCCGATGCTGATCGTTTACTGTATTTTCTCATGTAGAACATGCACATTTCCGCATAAACTAGCACTCATCTTGGATTTAAGTAAAGACGTTGCCTAGAAGTACCTCATTTTGAAGCGGTTCCCAGGGGTGCAACTATAGGGTGCTCAGTCCAGGGACCCTGCTCCCCTGCCTCTGGGGTGGAGGCAGGGGGGTAGAGAGTGCAGCACACAGCCAACGCTCACCTGTAAGCCTGGCTGTCCCCAGGGCTGGAAAGCAGGAAACCCCGTGTGGGTCTCTGCATCCGGTCTCCCAATGAGACCGTCCTTGGCAATCTCTGGAGCCCAGCAGCTGTGCAAGGCATGGGGGCCAGAGAGAAGTATTGCTTGCACACCTCCCTGCCTTCCTCCAGAGCCAGAGGCCCTGAGGCCAAGCACATGGCAGAGCGCTTGCTGGCTGTCTGTCGCGCTTTTCCTCATGCCCCCATAGGTGGG